TGTGACTGGTTGACTGGTTGTATGAGTGTATGCTTGTATGTGAATCCAGTGGACAGTACATGTACATTCAATATTACTACTTCTATTATACATACATTATACAAGTACGTGTATTTACATTATAGAGATATTATACATTTATATTATACATTATACATTTGCATGTAACAGCAAGAGTGTGTCAATTACTTTTGGTAACAGTTAACACTCACACATACACAGACATAATAATTGTCACACTTATGCAATTATGGAAGAATCATGCATCAAAGCATAATACATATTACACTCTATTATCCAAGGGCATTGTTGACAGCATGATGTGGCTTTATTTGCAATCATCAATAAAAAAACAAAAGGACATCAATGAAAAGGATGCTCTTCTTCATGCTCAGAGAGTTATGGTAGATGTTCAAGACTCAAGATTTCATTGGAAAAGCAGCCTAGCTAGCAGCAGAGTCAGCGCAATACAACAACTGAGTTGAGCTCACCCCATTCATGCATGTCATTCAACTAGTTATTATTATTGTTATTATTATTATTTTTTTTTATAGCGATCTAATTGATAATCATGGTGTGTGCATACGAGTGTTAGGTGATATTAAATTATTACCAACTGATGTACAAGAATCAGTAGCAAGAGCTGTGACAATGACTAAAAACAATAACAAGTAAGTACATGTACATGTACTTATTATAATTACATAAAGTATACTTACTTGTACTACATGACTGGCACTGAGTCAGGAAAGTCTTATGTCAATTATAGAGATGTTAATTAAATGTTTCATTAAACTGTACTTTTTACATGACACAGAGTGATTTAGGTAAACTGTTTTGTTGACCATAGATACTACACACCTCCTTGGGCCATATTAGGCAACTGGGTGAAATGCCATTCATGAAATGCATACCGTATAGCGCTTTAATTTTGCAGATTGATAAAAATCAATTTTTTTGCGGAAATAATTTTTGCGGGTTCACAATGTTAGTGCCACACCTTTAATGGCAATTGAAATTTTAGTGGATCTTTAATTTCGCGGTTTCATGCTAACCGCGAAAATAGCGAAAGTTTAGCTCCTCAAAAATAAAGCGCTATACGGTAGAGTGTAATGTAGCTAACTTCGTCAATAACTAAAATTAATGACAAATACATGTACATATATACATTGTGTACAACAAATGTCCATTCCTTTATTATAGGGTATATCTTAATGTGTGTTTCTCTTATGCATCAAGATATGAAATTACTGATACTATACAGTCACTGGTTGATGGATCTCATGATGGTACTATACTACCAACGTAAGTATATGTACATACATGCATCATGTGTAGTAGTGTACATCTATTGTACTCAGTCTACTCACTGAAGTGAACATGTGTAATGTTTTACTCATTTGTTTGTACATTTAACAAGCATAACAACTTGGTTCTTATTAACAACTTGGTTCTTATTAAGACTTATGAAGGTTCTCTCTACCTTCTAATACTTCTAGAGAAGTCTTTAGACAGTATCTCTATGTTCTTTTGCTGTTAGAAAGCTCATAACTTTGTCTCGTGTGCAAGCCGCCATTTTGTTTGCCATGACCACACCCACTAAAGTAGCGTGGGCGGGTGGTTGCTAAGGCTTGTTATTTCTCCAATACAACGTGTATAGAAGAAATGTAAGTGTTGACATACAAGTATATATCACACGTGGGTGAAATTAATTATAGGACGACCTGGGGGCGTAGCCCCCAAGTCGTAAAAATTTGATTTCCATTGTATGTTTGGAACATCAACCTATTCATTCTAATTTATTACTATACATTATACAAGTGCGTGTATTTACATTATAGAGATATCAGTGAAGAGTTAATGGAGAGATGTCTTTATACTGGTACATGTACACCACCTGATCTTGTCATTAGAACATCAGGAGAAGTGAGATTAAGTGACTTCCTTATATGGCAGGTAATTTTTAATTAATTAATTAATATATTTATTATTATTAATAGAGTTCTTATTCTTGTCTCTGTTTTCAAGATGTGTTGTGGCCAGAGTTTTCTGTTTGGAATTTATTCTCTTCGATATTAGCATACCAACAGAATTACAATAATATAAAGGTTTGTTAGTAATTAATTGAATCCTATAGCTGCATGTGTAGTGTACTGGTATGTCAAAACACTATAGAGGGGGAAGGGGTTGAATAAGCTCTGCTTTGATATGTAATGTGGTATATGTATATGGCTTATAATCACTGCAGTTTGTGGAGGTGTGGGTATGTGAACAACCACAGCTCTGTGGTGTTGGATGAACTGTATAGCAGGCTTGATACTGATACTGATAATATTATTTAGTATGCATAGCCTGTTTAAATAAAGGGAGGAATCATAAGCTTGCTTTGATAGCCTGGCTTTGGTTGGGCCCAGCTGTGTCTGTATGACACTTATAGTACCTTATAATCAATGACTGTTGTGGAGCACTGGAGCTGTGGTTATGGAAGGAATGTGATTGTATAGATAGAGTCTAGTTGTAATGTGTACATCTGGTACACTTGTGGAGCTGCCCTTTTGTGAACATACATATCAGGTTTGATGCTGATAATATCATTTAGTATAGCCTGTTCAAATAAAGGGAGGACTCATAAGCTTGCTTTGCTAGCCTGGCTTTGGTTGTGGTTGGAGAGGGACACTGTTAGATAATGTACATGTATAAATGTATCCACTTTACCTTATACTACATGAGTAGGTAGCAAGAGAGTACATGTACATTGAGAGGAAGGACAAGCAGTATAAATCAGACAGAGACTGTGCATTAGTACAATATTATAAAGAAAGAGGAGGAGGAGGAGGAGAAGGTGAACTATCAGAAGCAGTA